TTCGGTGCTAGATATGTAAATACATAGGAATTGCATGGTATAAATGTTTTCCTAATTATTTTTTCTGTGGATCTTCTTTCATTGAAATGCTACTTGCAAAATGAATTTTGGACAAGGAACTTCAAGATGTAGGAGGACGTGGGGGATAGAGTAGGGAACCTAGGCAGATTGGAGATGCCTCCCTGGAAATGTCTTTTGAAGATCCTTTATTGATGTTGTGAGAAATTCTTCACGCATCATGAAGGCATCTTATCCTTCTATTCCTAAATCAAAGCTTTCTTAAGGACAGCAAGCTAAGTCTACAAATTCCATGCTTTGTGTTTTGATAAGGGTCATTGAGCTGAGATCTGCAAAAACAGGGTCATATGTTTGGGTTGTAAATAAATTGATCATCAACCCACCTTCAATGCTATTTCAAGGTAAGAATTACATGCCTTACATCCAATTATAAAAGAAAACAAAAAATTTCCAAGCTTTTGTGTATCTTTATGTCTCTCATTCAAGTCTTCATAAATCAAGTATCACTGAAGCTCTTAGTATTGAAATAAATATTAGATATATTCTATTACTCTTATCAAACCAGCTCGTCGCTTTGCTAAGTTAGATAAACAGGTGTTTTAGAATCCTAGAGCAGATATCATTGAAGCTCTTAGTATTGAAATAAAGATTAGATTTACTCTTATCAAACAAGCTTGTCGCATTGCCAAGTTTAGATCTGCAGGTGTTTTAGAAACCCTTTTCAATAGAAGGAAAACTTTGCTTATCTACTATGGTTAAGCATAGGGATGAGATAATTAGAGCTTTAAATATTGGGAATCATCTACATGTTTCAGTAGCTATTCATGGTTTGTCTTTTTTATATTGGAAATGGGATGATTTGGATAAAATTACATCTAAATTTGAGAAGCTCAATTGATGAGCAAACATAAAGTTCCTTGAAGCTAGGATTCATGGTGAAGGATGTCTACATCAAACAAAAAAAAAATTTAAAACTTTATTCCAATTATTATATCCATTTTATTTTGAGAAAAATATCAAAATAGTCTCCTAAATCTTTACAGGGAGTCATTTCAATCACATAGTTTATAAAAATGTTAATCTAGCCCCCAGACTCTTTTAATATAAGCTAGAATTAGACACGCGAAGGACCATTTCAGTCCCAGTTCAAAGAGTGTGGGGACATCATAACTGATAATGAAATGTATTTCAATTTCATCATTGGGTCCTATATTTCAAAAAATAGAAACATTCATGTGAGTTCATGTATTGATACCGCACAATAAAATGAGATAGCTGAAAGAAAAAACAGATATTTCCATCAGGTATCTCACTCAATTATGATGCCCCATAAACTTCCAAAATATTTTTTGGGTGAACCAGTTTTTACTGCAACATATCTTATCAATCGAATGCTTGGTTTAGTACTTAACTTCAAAGCACCACTTCATGTTTTGATGGTTATCTATCCTCACATTAGAGTTTTCTCTTCTACTATACCACTCAAAATGTTTGGGTGTGTATCCTTTATTCCCATTTATTTTTCAAATCGCATAAAATTTTACCCAGACTCATTAAGTGAATTTTCATTTGGTATATCTCTAAAAAAATAGGTATAAGTGTTACTGTCATGTTACTAGAAAATATTACAACTCAATGGATGCCATATTTTTTGAAAATCAATCATACTATCCCAAATATGATGTTCAGGGGGAGTGTAAATAGACATCAATTTTGGGATGCATTGGATGTCACCTACACAGCCTTACAATCTACTCTTTCACCTAACCTTCCTATTCTTGTTGAGAATATCCAACTAACCCAACCTGCATTCCATAATAAAGAACTTTGTGCGTACACGAGGAAAAAAACCTTGAGCTGCTGGAAGACAACTTACAAAGACAGAATTGCTCCAATCAAAACCTGAGTCCACATTTACTTGAAACTTCAAGTGAGGAGTCTACAACTCATGAGTTACCCCTTCCTCTTCTGATGTTGATGATAATGAAAGTTGTACTGCACACCTAAATCAAGATTATGTACCTTACGGAAAGCTTTCCTTAGCCTTTATAGCATTTATATCTCACCTTAATAGCGTGCAGATTCATAAATCTATTCATGAAGTTCTTGAAAATCCAGAATATAAGAAAGTAGTCGAAGAGGAGATTCAAGCACTAAAGCAAAATGACACGTGAATTCTTACCAAACTCCCTCAGGATAACAAGTCAGTTAGATGCAAATGGATGTTTGATATCAAACACAAAACATATGAAGGTAATGAAAAATTAAAAGCGTGACTTGTTGCAAAAATTTTCACTCAATCTTATAGATTGACTATCAGGAGACATTCACACCATTTGTCAAACTAAACACTATCAGAGTTTTCTTTCAGTAGCAGTTAACAAGAAGTGGAGGTTGCATCAAATTGTCATAAAAAAACCTTCCTGAATGGAGATTTGAAAGAAGTGTGCATGGAGATATCACCGAGACTTGATAATGATTCTAACAAACACCTAGTTTGCAAACTCGAGAAATCTCTTTATGGGATTAAGCAATCACTAAGAACGTAGTTTGAAATGTTTGCTAAAACTATGAGATCTAATGAATATTTTCAGGGACAAACCGATCATACTCTACTCATAAAACACAACTCAAGGAGGAAAGTTTATTACAATGATAGTATATGTGAATGATATGAATCTTATTGGTGATGATGAAAGAGAACTTCTCAAGTTCAAAGAAGTACTTGCCACTGAGTTTGAAATCAAGTACAATGGAACCATAAGACCTTTTCTAGGTATGGAGGTAACAAGATCCAAGAAATGCATTATGATATCACAGAGAAAATACATCCAATATCTAATTAAGGGGACAGAGATGATTGGATGCAAACTTGTTGATACTCCAATGGATCCCAACTAGAAATCTATAACAAGAGAGAAGAAAGTATATTTGTTGATGGGAAGATATCAAAGATGGGTAGAAAACTAATCTACCTATCACATACTAGGTCAAATATTGCATACTCTAAAACATTATAAGTCAAGATGTGAATATCCCAAATGAACAGCATTTGAAGATATAATACTAGATTCTATAGTTTTCAAGAAGACTCCTTGTTAAGGATTAATTTTTGAGAAAACCAGAAAAAGAGATGTCAAAATGCTAGTTAAGTTGGGGAACTCACTGATAGAAGGTCTACCACAGATTACTGCTCCTATGCATGGAAAATTATGATTACATGGAGAAACAAAAAGCAACTATTATTTATAGAAGCGGTGCATAATGAAATTATAGGGCACTCGCCTTTAGTAGTCTTCAGAGAACGAGAGAAGAGCAGTGAGAGACTAAGAGGCAATGAGCGAGAGAAGAAGATAGGAAGAAGAAAAGGTGAGGTTTTGACGTATCAAGTGCAAGCATGGGAAGAATAGATTGAACCACTACTACCATGGGGCTTTCCCTTGTTGTGTGACACTTACTATGCTCAATCGGCCACAAACGGTAAAAGAGGGAGAAGGCAAGTGGCACAGTGCTCGAAGAAAGGAGAAGCGCTCGCTTTCTCTAAAGGCAACGTAGGGTGTGAATCTTTGCTTAGAAACCGGAGGAGGTGCAACCGTGCCCTAGCCAAATGAAAGTCAAGGAGGTAGAAGTCTACACTGATGCTAGTTGGTTGGGTTAGGAAACTCACTGATAGAAGGTCTACCACAAATTCCTACTCCTATATGTGGAAAAATCTAATTACATTGAGAAATAAGAAACAAACTGTTGTTTTTAGAAACAGTGTAGAATCAGAGTATATGACACTCGCCTTAAGAATATGTGAAGGGATCTAGATTTTGAAATCATTAAAAGAATTGGGTGTACCTCGAATAGGCCTATACAAATGTTTTATGTCAGTCAAACATTCATCAGTAATGTCAAGAATCTTGTGGATCATGACAGGACTAAAGAAATTAAAATCAATAGGCATGTTATCACTGAAAAAGTATAAGTTACAACCCTACACACCAACAAGTAGTTGTTGTCTTCACCAAAGCTCTTGCTTTAAACATTTTCTAAGAGTTCAATGCCAAGCTTGGTCTCTACGACATCTACAACCCAGCTTGAGGGGAGTCCGGAAAACTAAGTTTCGGCTCCTTTTCATGTTGGGTCGGACGGCCACTTCAAAACTAGTGGAAGTGATTGGGAACAACTTTAGTAACCTTTTTATTAGTACTATTCCCTCTATATTTTATGTTTCTTTATTTTTTATTTCAGAATTATTTATTTTCCTAATTTAAATTAGATATATTTATTAAGTTTATAAATTAAGATGGATTGGTTTCCCAATATATATGTACTCTACGTGTGAATAATAATATAAAGTCATTTTTTCTCTCCATACCTATTTTCCATAGTTTGACATCTAATTTCTGATGATGACTATAGAATTTGAGCTCTATAAATAAAAGTACTAAATCTAAACAAGCACAGTTATTAAACTAGTTTGTAATTTTAATTGTATTGATGTGGAAAAATTAGGACGACAAAACAAAATAAAAGTTAACCATAAAATTCATATTAGCTGTAATTAAAGTATCCACCTAAAGTTGAATTGCTTTCATGCCATTTCACTGAGACTTGAGAAAAGTTGGAATCCTTGAGTTGAGGCATCAAAAGACAACTTGATATTCAAGAAATAACAATATCTCAAAGTTGCCAAAGTAAACTACAGAATATCACATAATATAGCATACAAAAGGTTTTTTTTACATCAAAATAAAATGTTAGAAAAACTAAACCTAAAAAAGTGTGTTTAAAGAAGGTTTGTTGGAAATCCAAATAAATAAGGAATAACATTACGAAGGTAGACATTGGATGGCATAAAGGTAAAATACAGCGAACTAATGAACAATAACAATAACAAGTTTTTATCCCACTAAGTGGAGCATTTGTGTTCTATAACACAAACATGAGAGGTAAACTTAAATATAGGAAGCATGACTAGAAAGAAAATGTCTAACCGTCTGATCAAAAGCATCAATTCCTTCACTATCCAGTAATAAAAGGTTGTACTCAGTTCCATCCAGAGTTGTTCGCTTCAATGGTGCACTCCACATCCATAGCCCCTTCGTGCACGGTCGATGAGTGGAAGCTACTTGGAAGCCACTACTCCTACCATGAAGCTATCACATGTCCATACATAAGTTATATACAAAAATCCATCAATATGATAAAATAAATCATTAAATAAAAAGTGCACCTTCAACATAAAATTAATATGTACTTGCAACTTTCAGAGAATTATTAGGCAAAACAAAAAACAACTAACAGATGTGTGGAACCAAAAGAATAAGTTAAAATGATGATTTAGGGAAAAGCTTGCAATATAGATCTGCAATTGCTAGGAAAAAGGACGTACATAAGCAAATTATTAACAAGCAAGGGTTGTGTTTTGTTCAGTTCATTAACAATTTGAAGACCCTTTTTAACAATATGAGTTGATGACAATCGAATGCATTGAACAATTTAAGATTGCTGGATTCTATTGCATGAAATTGCTCTAGATTTTCAAATTAGAACAAGCTTAAGGAGTTAAAGAACCTTGAATAAATGTTGTCCAAAATTTTCAAGTACATTTGATGTTTTTGAATTGTAAAATAGCTGAATTAAACAAATTTTAGGGAACCTCATTTCTCACCTTTTGCTTGCTCCTACTTAATGTTCCTAAACCCTCAACAACAATAGGAAGTAAAAATGGGAGGTAAAGAAATCAGCATGGGATCTCGAAGGAGGAAAAGCATCGATGGGATTGATAATGAGTGAAGGACCCTCGACAAAAAAAAAAAGGTGATAAAGTCATGAATGGATCTCATTGGCAAAAGGACACCAATAAGGCCAACGTTTTGTGAAGGAGAAGAGTTCGTCAAGAATGTCCTTTATGATAGGAAGTTAAACCGATGGATGAACAAGGTGATATTGCTATTAACAAAGTGATATTTTTTTCTGTTATCGAAGGAAAAAAAAAATTATGCATGTAAACATGAAATTTTTATGTTGACTATGTAAATAAGATTGTTTTTAAGTGCTTTGTATGTAGATTACCCTTCAATTTTTTATTGGAACATTTACATAGATATTATTCAATTCTTATGTATTTACAGATCTAACACCTAAACTTCAATTTTTAATGATATGGCCCCTTACCTATACCTAAAAAGGTGTAATTCACTTTTTAAAAGATAAAATAGTGGTATTTTTTATGAGATATGAATATTTGGTTGGTATAAATGTAAAAAAGCAAATTTTACGTGTTAGTGGTATGCATGTAAATGCCACTTTTTTATTTAACGGATAAGCTGCATGATTTCGTGAAAATTAGATGGCCTGGTTCATAAATTAAAGGCTAAATTTTATACTGAATGCTATTGGATTATTTTTAATGTTAATCAACTCAACCTAACCTGACAAGATGTTGTAGAAAGTTTTTGTAGGATAGGCTTGTGCAGGGGTATGCATGATAATCAAAAAATCATATTGAACAGTTTTTTTTGGAAGATTTCGTTCGGTTTTAATATTAGAGGTTCAAATATTGATTTTGATTAGTGAAATATTTAATTTTTGGATTTTGGGTCGGTTTGAAAATCACATATTTGGAAAAAATTAAGAAATTTGAGAATTACAATTTTGGATAAAATTAAGAAAATCAATTAAAAAAGTACTAAATTTAAATGCATTTCGTAATTCATATTTTTTTCTTTTGTTTGGCTTCTCCATTCAAGCTTCCAAGAAAGTAACCCATTATCTTAATGATTATCAATTATGTAATTAAAAAAAACACCATAGTTCTAACGAATTTGTTGTTTTGTTTGATACAGTTCAGCATTTTATTTGGTCGGTTTGGTCGAGATTCTTAGACATTCAAAACCTTCCAAACCAATTAGTTTCGTAAATTTGTCATCCAAACTGTCCAAACCAATTAAAATGCACACCCCTACACTTGTGCAGTTGTAGAGCAGAGAAAAGTATCAGGTATTGTTAGAGGACATAAAAATGCAGAACCAGCATCAAAAGAAAATTGTGGGAGAGTATGGAGAAGCATGTGCTGCAGTCACTGGCAAAAAGCAAGGAAAGACCATTCCAAAGTCCAATATTCACAGGCACGCTCCAAGCAGGTCAATAAACGAAACACAATTGGAACTCAAATCGACACCATGGTCAGAAATGGAAGAAATGTATGCCTATTTACAACCCTATAAATATATGCCAACCGGAAAAGTGGTCTGAATTTGGAATAAAAAAAAAAAAAAAAAACCTGGTTTAGAATAAAGCTTTTGCCTTGTCGAGCTCTCCCGCAGACAGAGACGACGCCTACAGGGCCTTTCACGAGCTGAAGGGCAGCGACGGCCTCTGCGTCCACGACGAACTTACCCTTTTCGTCGCAGTACACGAGACGGAGGGGCCTCGCCGGCCCATGGGCAGCCGAGCTAGGGTTAGCGCTTCCGTTGGTTGAACCCGATGAAGTGTTGGTGTCCTTGGACCCCGAGCCCCCGCGGAATCCCAGCATCTGCATCATCTTCCTTCACTGCGAAATTACCGTTTCTTTTCTGCGACCGATAAAGTTCCCTTTGCTTCGTTCTGGATTTATTCCTCGATTCGTTATGCTTTTACGGGAGAAATTTGAAGCGCGAGATGCTCGATGATGAAGGATTCGTTACAGGATTTGGCGGAATTCCAAATGGGGCCGTTTTCCTGCGAGAGCCCTGAAAGATTACCGGAAGGCTGTGTAGCAACACTGAACTCTTTTATATTTACATATCATATAAACTTACCTATATATATATAAAGATATAATTTAATTTTTTATAAGTTAAAATAATAATATTTTTTTAGGTAATATGAAAGATTTGGGTGATGTAAAAATAAACAAAAATTTATACATAAGATATGTAAATGCACAAGAGTTAGATGTGTACATCAAAAATGTGTTCGCCCGAATTTCAAAAAAATCTAAGTGCAACGAAGAAGACGACGCAGAGGTCTGAGACCCACTAGGGACAGTTTGAGGGCCCGTATTAACCCGATCAGCTTCTTTTGGCTGGGAAAGAAAAAAACCCATCAACGGAAGAATCCACTGACATTCCTTAACAAGGCCAGACGGATGATAAAAACCTCTCGGATCTTAGATAGGTGGTCGGCACCTCCCGGTCAACCTTTTTTCATAGGCGCTCGGGTCATGACCCAACCAGTCACTATCTCAAACGCCTAGCGCATTACCGCTCGAATCACGATCAGGTTGGACACCATTTAATCTCCTGACCATATAACTATGTTTTGCCCAAAATTCCCCATACTGTAACTACATCATTTGGGATACAAAATATAATATTACGTTCTTCAATTCTATGAATAAAGGTTACATGATTTTATTGTTCATTAATATGTTCTCTCTGCCCTTGTGGAAGCTGAAACAAGGACCAAACGAGAGCATGTTTTCCTACATCCTACGATTCAAGAGAGAGATGTTGAATGTGAAGGACCTTTAAGGTCCGAGAGGTTTCATTACGACGCCAGTTTACATGAGCCCTAAGATTTAGTCGAGATGTTGGAAATGGCCAACAAGCACACTATCATCGAAGAAAGCATCCCCCAATTAGAACTGACAGACTATCGTGCCCAAAAGAGAACCTCACAGAGGGATAAGTGGAAATCAAGAGAGGATCGCAAACTATTCGTACGACCGAGATACAAAGACAATCAACCCACTCGTAACAACAAAGGGTCCCACCAACATAACATTCAGAGAGGTCAGAGAATGAGCCAAGACCAATGACTGTTTCAGTATTATGAGAGGGCAGCCCCGTACTATGAACAACATTCAATGAGTACGAGGGCCTCTGGGCCACTCTATTAAGAGTGTCAATGGTGGAGATTGTGGATGTCATCTAAGATAAAGAATACTTCAAGAAAACGCCATCGATGAGGGGCAGAGCCTTTCTCTTGGATATGAGGAAGTACTGCAAGCACCATCAGGACCACGCCAACTATACGAAGATTGTAGGCACCTCTAAAACCTGATCGAGAAGTTTATCATATCTATAAATTTAAAGGAGTTTGTCACACTGTGGGCCACAAGACAGAGGCACGGGAAGGCTCTAGAAACTAAAGCTCTGAATGGGACCCATCCAGACAAATGTTGTGTCCATGCAAGGAAGGAGAACATGCCCCGAACTTACATTCACGGATGATGAATTGCCTTCAAGGATAACCCCTACAACGATGTCATCATTGTAACAAGGATAACAAACAGCTTTCAGGTCAGAAGTATCTTTATCAGCACTAGCAGTTTAGTGAGCATCTTGTTCAAGTCGGTGTTAATAAGCTCAATCTTGGAGCGACCTACTGGTAGCATTGACTGGCCCCCTTTACAGCTTTTTGGGAGAAAGGAAGTAGGCAGTAAGTATTATGTCATTAGTGGTTACTTTGGGTGGGGGTGGGGGTGAGAAGTAGTTCACTGAGATGAAGAACTTCCTGATAGTGGACTCACCTCCCACCTGCAATGTCATCTTTGGCCAACAACTACTAAATTATTTCAAGGTTGTGGTATACACATACCACATTGCAGTCAAATTCTCAGGAGAAGAAGTGGTGATCACTATCTTGGAAAATTCAGAGCAGTCTTGGGTCTTCTACCTCCAAGCAGTAGGAAGCTTGGAGTAGGAGCCGCTTGATTTGCATAACCGTACGGAAGGGGGTCTCAAGATCAGCAAGACAACTCTGGAGATTCCTGTCACCAATGAATATTCTGATATTCTTTTTAATAAGTAAAAAATTTGATGCTTGACATAGGGAGTTGCTAGTCCAAAGGCTTTGAGACCATCGTGATGTTTTTGCTTGCTACGCAACAGAGATGTTGGGACTACCAATCACATCATCTACCATTGATTGAACATGAGTGTCGTCACCTAACCAATAAAGCAGATGATTGGGAACTCAGTGAAAACAATGGTTGAGCCCGTCAGAGAGGAGTTATTGAAGTTAAAGGAAGCATTTTACATTCGGGAAGTTCAATACCCCACCTGGGACTCAAACAATTTCATGGTTTATAAGGCCAATACAAAGTGGCATATGTTCATAGATTTTATAAATCTGAATGTCTCTTGCCCAAAGGACTGCTACCCTTGTCGAGGATTAATACCCTGGTGGATTCAGTTTTGGTCCACTCCATGATGAGCTTCCTGGATGCCTTCTCAGAGTATCACCAAATAAAGATGCACTTGGACAACACTAAGAAGATTGCTTTTAAACTACTGGAGGTGTTTTATGTTACATGTACTGTCCTATGAGCTTAAAAATGCTATGGCAACATACCAGCGCTTGATGGATGTAAATTTTACTAATGAAAATAGGAAAAATATTGAAGTCTATGTGGATTACATCTTAGTGAAAATTAAGATGACTGAAAAATATATAAAACATTTAAAAGATATATTTCAGATTCTTAGAAACTATAATTTGAAGATAAACCCTCTATAATGCACATTCAGAGCCTCAACTGACAAGTTCCTAGGTTATCTCCTAACTCTCGAAAATACAAAACTCAAAAGTTAAGTTAGTTATGCATGTTGGAAAGAACGTAAGGGAAACATTCTATTGAAATCATAATTGCAAGTAACAATTGAAAATAAGAAAATTACAATACAATTTATTCCCACTTTCACAACATCTAACTCCTCTAACATATAATCAAGCTCTCAATTTTGTAAGAAAAAATTGAATTATAAGGTAGAAAAACACCTTAGCACCTCACCCTCGTGAGAAGAAAAGAACATTGACTAATTTAGAGTTTTTAACTAGTTTGTGTAGTAATGTTGAATATATTCTGGTCTCTCACCTCTAGATTACCCACTATGCCCTTTCTATAGGACCTACTATAGACCCTTAAGATCCAAACTCTAAACTGAATTTGAAAAAGAATCTAGTATTTCACCCTAAAAACATCAATTCTACGCCCATCAAAACTTATCTCCCTATCTATTTGCACTCCCCTTTAGGCGATCGCAATGACTCTGCCCAGAATGAAATGTGATACTCACTAGTTGGTTAAAATCATAGCCCTCCCAGGTCTTTATGTTTCTCAACAAATTTTAAGCTCACTAGTGGCCAATTTGCAAAGACAATGAAGAATCAGTGAAAATGCCATCACAATTTTTAAAAGTAAAAAGAAATTTTTAAATCATTCTCATCCCACAAGATTAATTCCCCAGAGCAAGGAGAAAGAAAGGGAACTCATAATTCATGGAGAATAAAACAAAAACACCAAATTTGTATTGAAATCCAAGTCTTAGAAACAAAAACTTGAAAACAAATACAAAGTACCTTATGTCTTCTCCCCAACACAAATTCTGGAGTCTCCTTGAAGAAATCTCCAAACTCTTACTCTTACAACACGAGACACGCTAAAACATACACTTAAAAACAAAAGTGGGACTTCTTAAAACATTCAAATGCTGCCAAAAAGTCCTCGTTTTCATCAAATTTTCCGTCCATATTAATAGATCCTTGAAAATAACTAAGGATTTCTTCAAACACCCCTTCAAAGTTGTTTCTTCAAACACCCCTTCCCCCTTCAAAGTTTGGTCAAATTCAATAGATCTTTCAGAAGGGAAGTTACTGGAGCTATAACGCCAGTCTGGGAGCTATATCACCCTCTGCCCACATCTGTGGCGTTATAGTGTCAGGGGGCGGCACTATGGCGTCATACCATGTTGCACCATTTTTGCTCATTTTCCATCATTTTCTCCAAATGTCCATTCCGTGTACCTAAAACCAAGAATTCATAAAATATATTCATTTAAAGTGCAATATCTCTAAAAATATACATAAAACGATCATTAAATATGCACTAAAAACATGTAATTTTAAGGTCGATCAGGTATCTATCAGGTAGCATTTAAATTTGTCGAATGTATATATTATGTCAAATGTACATATTATGGCCAAAAACTTTTTTTCAGTGGTGGTGTAATTCACTTAAACCTTATTAAGAGTCTTATTGACATATTATATTACATGGAAAATTGTCCTTTCATTAGGTTGATACCACCCCTACAACATAGTCACTAGTGTCACATATGAGCTCAAATAGAAATATTAAATCAGGTTCAACAATCACAAATGTATTGACTAATTTCTTTTTTAAAAGTTTGAAACCTGTTAGACATTTTTCATCAAATAGAAAGAGCGTGTACTTCTCTAACAAATGACACAAAGACTTAAATCTTAGAGAGTTCTTTTATATATCTAGAATAGAATCTCTCATGCTCCAAAAAGCTCTTAATACCTCTAATAGAAGTTGGTGTGGTTAGTTTCTCTATATCTTAATTTTTTTGTCCTAATTTATCTCCATCCCCTACTTAGACACGTTATGCCCTAATAATATCCCTTCAGTTATCATAAACTAAAATTTTTCCTAATCTAGTGCCAAATTAATCTCTTCACATCAATGTAAAACCATAGTAAGATGTTGAACAAATGTGTCAAAGGATATGTCTATTTTTATTTATAAATCTCTTTTTTAAATAACCCCCTTTCTTCAAGCATCAATATGATTCAGATAATGAGGAGGCTTTGGAAAGAAAGAATATATAACAAAACTAGACAAACAAATAAAAAGAATGTGGAGAATTTCTATAAGATAACCTTCGTGAGATAAGTTAAAAGTGTATGCCCAAAAGGAGGTCAGGTCAAAACATTTTACAAGCATATTCATGAACAAGCTTCCAT